TTTTATCACATATTTTATTATATTTTATCATATTTTGTCATATTTATCTTAATTTTGGTTTTCAAAGGCTTGTTTTGGTTTTTGGTTGTTAAAAAGTTCAACCGAAATCGAACTAAAATATATTTGGTTAATACCAAAACCAAAAAAGTAAAAATTGAAAACCGTTGAAATCAAACTGAATTCATTTTTTTGGTTTGATTTTTGGACAACTTATCGGTTCGGTTTCAAATGCCCAGCCCTACACAAGGTTTTTAAAACCGAATCGGTCATTAAATCATTTTTGGATTTGGTTCTCGATTTGACCGATTCAACCAGTGAACCGATCGATCCAAATAACAAGGGAAATCTGATGAGAGGGGTAGGTAATTTTGTAATTTTATTAAAATTAAGGGTTAAAATCGGTATAAGAAAGGAATGGTGAGGGTGAAATTGGAAAAAATAGAAAGAAAATTGCATGAGAAATTGAACCAATGGGTTTTTTTGGTTTTATCGGTTCCATCGGTTCCACCAGTTTCATCGGTTTTGATCGGTTCTTGATCGATTCTTGACCAATTTTGACCTCAAACGGTTTTTTTATGTAAACCGAATCATTTTCATTACTAATATTGGTCTGACCAATTCAACCGGCCGATCCGATCCGATTTTAAAAACCTTGGCCCTACACAAAATTGTAAGTATGTGCTTGGTCTCCATATCAGTTATATTCAATCTTTTATGTTAGCAAAATTTTGCATTCTTTATAACTTTCAAGATTTGCTCGACATCTTCAGAAGACTGGTATAAAGTTGTTTACACTTAAAATTAAATCGATGAGAGAAGGTCACGTGTGTTGTATTTGAAAGATTTATAGCTATTGAAATTTGAAATTGGTGAGAAATGTGTAAGATTATCCTAGCAACGTTGCAGCGAGTGTTATAGTTGCGAGGGGCAATCCTGCACATTTCTCAACAATTTCATTAGCTAAGACTCTATGTATGGTGGTAATTTTTCAACAATCTTCCTAGTTCCTAGACATAGCTTCTCAATTTGGTGGATTATGTCTAATGAGTTTGTATCTAATTTAGTGATTTGAGTTTGCAATTTATCTAAAGCTATTAGAACATTAAACAGATGAGGAGTAGACACTTCGAAGTTGATGTAGTTATTCGATTATGTGGTGGTTTGTTATGGTGACCTCCTATTTTATTTGAGTGGGTTAATGTTATGGAGAACTTGCAAAAAAATGGCGTAACCCCAAATCTATCCCTCAAATAGGGGGTAAGGAATGATCTGTCCCTAAAAAATGTAGGGATAATTGTCAATTATAAATTGTGACGTTAGCAAACAGAATTATGATATTATACGTGTAAAAAGAGTGATTTGTGGCAATTTATTCTTGCATTCCTTGCTCCCTATTTGAGAGGTGGATTTGGTGGTTTTGCCCAACAAAAATAGAGTCGAATAAGCATTACCTGGAAATGTTCATATCAATACCTTGGACTCTTAGCTCGACACATTTGATTATAAGATTAGCGAATGAAATTATTGGTTTTGGTTAGATTGTGGCTTTACCCAAACAAATGTGTAAATATTCTTAATAAAATTATTTTTATAATATTTTATTAAGAATATTTAAATAAATTTATATGATGAAGTGTATTGTTAATATGTAATTTATTATAAAAAACTTAAAATCTCTTAACTAAATAATCAAAGTGTTAATTAAGAATTTTGGTAATAATATATATTTATCTTTAAACCCAAAATTTTTGGTAATGGGAGTGATAATAATAAGGTTAAAGTGAAAAAAAAAAAAAGATTTATTTTTCTTAAAAAATATAAAATATAACATTTATTTGGAAACGCTAGAAGGAGTAAGGGAATGATTTTAATTGTAACTATGATTATTTTGGTTATTTCAGCTACTTCGTGGGTGTGGCCTTTCGGCCCTTTTCTGTTCGGGAGACTTGACTCTATAATGAAACAATTGAAATGAAAAGTTGAACCGGAGAAAGCAAAGGACAGTTCATATCATATGCGTTTGTGGGATATATACATGTATCCATCTCTCCATTGTTTTGTGGGAGCAGCGTAGAGGGGAAATTATGTTGTCCAGTTTGAGTACTCATCTTCAATCATGACTACCATCTTTGGTAGTATTATTGCATTTGTTGTTCCTCGAATGCTTTTTTCTATCTTTACATCATGTTATTATTGTGTCTCAGTCACAAGATCAAATAAAATAATAATTAATAAACTTATTAAAAAATATCAATAAAAAAATATCATCAAAATAAACGTAAAACACTTACTTGTTTTAAGATGATTTACGTTTCTGTAGAGAGTAGATTAACCGGTGCAGTGGAGATATATAACATGTCATCCTTAGGATGCTACAGTTTTATAATTACATTTTATGAATCTGCACTATTTATAGAATCACTAAACTCAAAACATCATTTTTTACCAAAAAAAATTTAGAAGATAAAATAAAGTAAAAAAAAAAAAAGGAGAATGTGGAGGAACTTTCTCCTTTAAGCAAATAGACATGTTATATTTATAGGACTCATTGTTTTGTAACTCTCATTTGTAAGTTAATGATAGAAATAAATTGAACAATTATTATGAAATAATGTGCTCTTAAATAAGACAATTAACTTACACCGATTAATTTAACCAAGTTCTTAATGTGATAATAAATTTAATTTATAAAATATATTATTTTATTTTCTATTAAAATATTTAAGTTCCAACAATTATAAATTATTAATTCAAATGGATAGATTTACTAATAAACAAGTATTACATTGTAACTCATATTTAAATTTAAATCTTAAAATAACATTTAAAAAAATTAATTTTTTTATATATTAAATCATGTGAAAATATAACTTAAAAATTAACCCAAAACAGCTGGTCATAAACTAAAAACAAAAAGGTATTTTAGATCATCTTTTGGCACACAAACAAATCATTCACTTTGTAATTAAAGAATAATGAAAAATTAACTCTTCTAACTGCTCCAAAAAATTAAACTATCATTCCTTTAAAATATTCGCGATCCTTGGTGAGTTGTTTTGAGAGGAAGTAGAAATAGCCGATTTTGAATTCAGGATTTGGTCTTATCGCAATGAACAGGAACCTCTTAGGCTACAATTGAAGTCTTTATAAGTGTTTCAAGATTAGAAAGTGTTTTGTGATTTTCTTTGATCCAACTAATCCAATAGATTCATGCACAACTGTCGTGTTTGCAGAAATTAGGTAAATCTCTATTTTCTATAGTAATGAGCATTGTTTATTGAAATTATTTGTATTTAAACGAGAACAAAGAAAGTTAAACCTACATTTTAAGATATTGTTCGCATCCAAAGTATCACTTTAGTCAACCAAATGAGTTTTAGTTTATTTCTTTATTTATCATATCATATTGATGTTACAACAAAAGCTTATTTTTTGTTTCCTTTAAAAATTTTAGAAGACTTCCAGCAAATACATGCATCATGAATCAATGTCTAGCTGGATGATGACTCCTAGAAATTTATAGAATTTTATAGGCAGAGTCTTATATTGAGCCCCTCAATTTATCTTAAGTTTTCAATTAAGTTTTTATATTTTTATTGAAGTAAATAAGTTTTTGAATTTATTGATTTAGATAATTTCATTATTTTTTTATGATAGATTTAATACAAATTTATACCTTATTTATATAGATAAAGTTAATACCTGTTATATAATAATTTTTTTTGGTTTCCCGCCCGGTATCCAGGGCTTCGTCCCGACAAATCCGGACTCAACCAGCTGTGTCGCACTAGAATCGTGGGTGGGTCTCCCAACGAAAGCTGCTGCGTACACAAGGTTTTGAACTCGAGATCTTACTTAAGCTGAAACAAACCGCTTACCACTTGATCCAACCCGTCGTTGGTACCTGTTATATAATAATGATATATCAATAACTTATCTATACAAATAATACACAAATGGTTATTAAATTTATTATAAAAAAATTAAATTATCTAAATTATTAAATTTAAAAATTTATTAACTTAAAAAATCTAAAAATATAATAAAAAATTTAAAATAAATTTAAAAATTTAACATAAGAGTTTGTCAATTTTATACAGTGACGAAATGGGCGTGCATCACATGGACCAGGGAGGTTAAGGGCGTGATGGGTGCTAAATTGATGGTGATTCACTAACACAACATTCCACCGCCACCATTATCCTTTTTTTTTTTTGGAAGGTAGGCAACGCACCGCCATCATTATCATAATTAAAAGAAGAATGGAAAGCTGAACACAATAGAACACGACAGCCAGTCCAAATCACTTGTCGTGTTTCTGAGACATCTTTTGTGCTTGAATGATTCATGGATTCTCTGATCTTATTGGACCAAATATCAGTACTTGCCCCATCATACCTGCAGTTATTGTGTTACTATTAAATTTCCCGAGCTCACTAATGGTGTGCACTTTTGTGTCACGAGTGCTTTCACTCTGTCCATCTCCATTTTTTTTAAAAAACCTGAAATTGGTGAAGTTTAAACTTTTCGTTTTATGCTTAAGAAGCTCTTTTTAAACTTCTACACGCATATGAAACATTTAATTTCATTTCGAATTTGATAAATAAAAAAAGTTATAGATTTAGAATTTGAAAATTCAAGATAAGATTGAGATCCCACAGGAGCCATGAGAAGAGACACCGTGGCGGAAATTGTGTTAGTATAGAAAATAAGTGTGTTAAATAGTAGTAATCTATACTTAGAGATATGTTAGTAATTAAAAGTTTGAAATTTTTTATTAGAAGCATGGGTTCCCAATATACATAAACCATTCCATATATATAGAGTTCTGATATCATAAAAAATTAGTCCATGTATAAATTTTTTGATTTAATGGTTGATTTTTTAAAATATTAATTAATCAGGTAATGAAATTTTTATATTCATTAAAGGATGCTATTTTTGAATTAAAATATTATGGAGCCGAGATTAATATATATTAAGGAGATACTATATACACTCTCGACCGTTATACACTCCGTTACATACACTTACTTTTCGTTAACTCCCAAATGCACCCAGTCCAGTTGATCGAATTGTGAAGCAGGGAAGTAAAACCAGCCTAAAAAAAGACAAAAATCATTCTCCATTCAAAGTCAAAATTCAAAGAGATTGAAACTGAGATTGATGCTTAACAACCACCATGACAAAAGCTGAATTTGAGTAAAAAAACTAAAGACAAATCGAGAAAAGATATTGGATTGAGGAATCTAAAAGGGATCTTCTTGTGAACTAAAAAATCTAGGTTTGCAAAGGACATGGACTTATTGTGGAATCCTACATCTAGGTTCATCTTGAAACTCAAAAACTAAACCTAAATAGATATGCTACATAGCATTGTTGGTTTGGTTTTTGCCAAATTTTTAGGAAATTGAAGGATTTTTTAAGGAAATTCAAGAGCAAGAAGAAAATTGGTGTCATGACGCTAGCTTTGAATTCCTCAACCATTAGTGTCCAACCATTCATCCTTCATCAAGGTTCGCGATGGTGCCTTTCTCCAGCTCCTCCATCGCCTTAAATGCCACTTGGAATCTCGGCTCCATCTTCACCACAAACTCATCTGTGAACCCGATTCGACTAACATCTAGGTACAACTTGAATTCCTTGTGCTAGTACAACCAGCCAAAGTACCATTTCCACAACATGTAAGGATCTTTCTCAAGTTGTTAGGTTTGAAGGAACCTAGGCTGCTAGGTTCCTAAATTCTTATTTACAACCTCTAAATCCTTTCATTTTCTCTCCCCTTCCCTAACACTAGATCTAGATTCCTTTGCAGGTTCCCACTTGTTCCAACTTCATGCTCTGTGCCGATGAAACTAATGATGATGAAGAAGAGGAAGATGAGGCTACAGATGATTAGGATGAGGATGGAGGTAAGGAGGAAGATGGATCTGGTGAGGATGATGAATAGCAAGGAGAAGGGAAAGGAAAGAAAGAAAGAAAGAAAGAAAGAAAGGGCAGGGTTGGGTTGGGTGCTTTTGGAGTTAACGGAAAAAGTAATAGAAAGTGAGTGTGTATAACGGAGTATTTAATGGACAAGGGTGTATGTATTATTGTCTTATATATTATTCTCACATATATCATAACATGATTTTTTTTAATTTTATTTCAAATTGCTTCGAATTGCAAAATCAAGACTGTAAGAAGATGAAATATCACCACATTTAATGTCCAGTTATATATATGAAATATGCTTGTACTTTGAACTACATACAATTAGTACAATTAGGGATGTTCATGAGCCACCTAGCTTCAACTTGAATTTAACTCTTTTGATAAATGAGTTAAGTTTAACCTTTAAAAGAAAAAAAAAAAAAACTTGAGCTGGAATTTACATATCTAAGTCAGAAGTTACTTGATTTAGATTTTAAAAATATATATAATAAAATAAATGCAATAACTACATTAAATATAGATTTTAAGTTTAATACTTAGCACAAATTGAAACTATATACAATGCACACATAATGCATGGATAATATAAGGGCTTAAAATCTAGAAATTGTGTAAAATGCATTTCCGAATTATATGCAATGAATAATGAAAAATAAATAGAACAATATAAAATTTTAAAATTTTATTAATTAAAATTTAAAATAATTATGAGAATGTGTTGTGTGTGTTTCTGTTCATTGGCAATTGTAGTATTATTTAAATGCAATGAATAATGAAAAATAAATAGAACAATATAAAATTTTAAAATTTTATTAATTAAAATTTAAAATAATTATAAGAATGTGTTGTGTGTGTTTCTGTTCATTGGCAATTGTAGTATTATTTAAATAAAATGCAATAGCTAGATTAAATAGAGTATACAACTACGAAATTTTGGAGTTTGATGCTTACTACAGCCTATAAATCAAATAAAAATTGAAACCATATACAATGCATGAGTGACGAGTAATGCATACTTGCTCATGCTCAATACTCTTAACCTAGAGTTCAAGTTCAACCATTTTAAGATATTTGAACTCGATCTACATTCAAGTATTTAAAACGAACTTAAGCAAAAATACATATATCCGATTCAAGTTAAGTCAACTTTACCTATTAATAACTCTACAAATATTATTTATGTAAAATATTATTATACAATCTAAACTATATTAAATCATACAATAATAATTATTGGACAAAAAAACCTTATCCAATCATTCATAACTATATTTTAATACAATTTAGATTATAAAATAAAGATTTATATTTATAATAAAAAATTATAATTGCAGTGTCATGTAATAACATAAAATTATAATATAATATATATTATATAATTATTTTTTTTAAAATTTTTATTAATAATTTATATATATTTATTTAATATCATACAATACTTATTTAATATTATTTTGTAATTATAAACTTACTACACTTTCGGATTTCGGTTATAATTAGTGCACTGCTGTATTTATAAATTTCCAACATAGCCAAACGAATTATTATAAAAGCATCGAATCATCGAAGCCCTCTCAACGGTACACGACAAGCTCTAGGCGGGTCCACATGACATCTCAGCACACCTTGCCCTGACACGTAGCTGGTTTTCCCTGTCCTCGCATACAAAATTATTCCCTCTTTTGTTCAGACATACGTGCAAGTTTCCGAATATCTCGGCGCGCTTAACGATGTCCAGAGAAATTTCCGGCAGCACGGTGGGTAAGAGCCTCAGCGAGATATCGGAGGCGGCGACCACGCGGCTGAGCGTCGACCTAGTTTCGGCGACGAGGCGGAATCTCGAGTTCTTGAGGATTGTCAGCGGGTGGCAGTGGCTTCACCAGAGATCAACGACTCTTGAGGCAGTCAGGAGGTCGGAAATCAAAATAATTTTGGTTTAGGAATAGGAAGAGTATTTTTATGTGACCAGACGGCGGGGTGTGAGTGAGTGAATGAGATGAGAAATTGGTGGTTGTTTTTTGCAGGTACGATGAGCTGTGGATGCCGTTGATTGCTGATCTGACGGTGGGATCAACGCCACCGATGGTTCTGCCTCCGGTTGATGTTGAGTGGGTTTGGTTTTGTCACACCTTGAATCCTGTAAGTTGAGCTGCTTTATGTTCTGTTTGGTTGCTGGGAAAGTGTTGACGAGAAAATATAAGAAAATAACAGTAGAGAGAAAGGTTCGCTTTTCTTTTTGCTTTCTTATTTTGGAGGAAATGTAAGCAAAAATTTTTGCCTTTTCAATTAATTTGGATATAGAAAAATAATGGTGAATTTTACTATTTATATTTTGTATGTTTAGCTACCATGATTGTTTGCTTTAGTCACATTTTTAAGCATGAATTTTACTTTAATCTCTCTTTTTGTCATTCTAGTGATTTCCATTATTTTCTCGGTAACCAAACAGAATCTGGGATTTTCCTTCTTTCAGCTTATATATCTACATGCTTTTTTTTCTTTTAGTTATCACCTTTATTTTCTGGGTGACTAAACAGAATGTTAAAAGCAATAATTTTCAGGTCAGTTACAGGCAATATTGTGAATCAAGGTTCTCAAAATTGATTGGGAAACCAGCTATTTTTGATGAAGAAAACAAAGAATATGCATTGATGAGATGCAGAGATGTGTGGGTTGACAGATACCCAACTGAACCTTTTGAGAATGAGGTGGATTCATATTCTGAAGAACAAATCCTTGTAAAGGAAGATCTTTTGAATGAAGTTAAAAAGCACAGGTTTTTGTATTCAAAATTTTCAGAACCATACTTGTGTGAGATGTTGTATTTGACAGCAGCAAGACAAAGGTATAAAGGATTCTTGTATGTGATGCAAAGATTCAGAGATTCATGTCCTCGTTTCGTGCCTACAGTGGATATTCTGCTAATATTGCTGATCCATCAGGTGAATTCTCTTAACCATCGAAACCCTCTTAGTTGGTTTCTATTGTGATTAATCATCTTAAATTCCTTTGTGTTTGTTCTTTTGTGATGGTTAGGTTTCAATCTTGCTTTTCTCTTTCAATTTGGATTGCATTCCAGTGATCCTTTAGTTCACTTCTGTTTGTAATTAGCAATGATAATGACTCTTATTTTGCACCCATTTTAAGCTTTTCTTTTTGGCCGACCCTCCTTTTTGGTGTAATTGCACAATTTGTTTGTATGCTTATCTGATGCAATTTCTCCTTTTCTTTATTTCTTTATGACAAAGAAGTTGTAGTGTTTAGTGAGATTAGGTAAAGTTTGAGATTAGTTTTCTGTTTTTCAATGAACCATTAAAATGAAAGATAAGAAATGTTTCAATTATTATTATTATTATTATTATTATTATTATTATCATTATTATTTATTGTTTTGTATTCACTTCCTTTTTAATGACTACCTCTCCCATATGTTGCTTAGTCAGTTTTTATTATAATATTCATTTTAAAGTTTGTTTGCGTTTGTTCATTTGTGATGATTAAGGTTTCTCTCTAAATTTTGATTGCATTCATTTTAGCCATTAATTTACTTCCATCTGTGATTAGTGATTAGTGAGTGATAAAAGACTCTTAATTTTATTCTTAATTTGGTGGATCTGCTTTATGTTTGTTTAATGTGATCAAATTAAAAGTATCCTTTTCTTCTCTATACATGAGAGATTTGAAAAGTGTTCAGTAAGATTAGGTAAAGTTTGAGAGTAGTTTTCCTTGTGAACCATTAAAATTTTTGAGAAAAGTGAAAATTACGATGTCAATGCCATGATTTTCTACAATCCCTTTTTTAATTGTCTTGCATTCTGTTTTGAGTTCCTTTTTAAGCTGGCCTTTTCTTCTTGGAGTATATCATTCTCACACATTTCAATTTTTGATGCACAATGAACCAGAGCTATCCAACAGTGTATGCAGAGGATTTGAAGGAAATGTGGGTTGATATGGGTAAGATTGTGGGGGCATGGGAGACTGTCAAGGAAAAGGAGCTGGAATCCACCAAGAAGCTTTGGGAAAGAACAGTTGATCAGCCTTATGAGAAAGCTGGAGGTGGGCTTTCCATGGAACTGGAGAGGGTTGTCCCGGTGAAGCCACCAGTTTACTGGGAGGTTTCTGAAACAGATGTCAACAGCAAATATAAGTCCATGGTTCCCAGGTTCCTACTTGAGGTACCTTTAACACTCTTATCTCCTTCCTCAATGATGCTTTTACCTTTTTTTTTTTTTATATAATTTTTTTATTAATTTTTTTTCCCTCAAAACAAATTCTAGTCAAGTTGAAGGGCCAAAAGATCCCAAGGAAAAGTTAAGAATAAAAAATGGAAAGTAATGAAACAACCACTGGTTGACTTTAGCATCTAATATCCATTATTTCTTGTGTCCTTGTACTTTTTATATTTGCCACTCTTAACAAATCAGATAATCTTGAATGGATGCACTTTATTAGTTAGGTTATGGTCCCATGGAAAATGGCATTATTCTCTTTGCCTTTGGAAAAAGATATCCCACTAACCAAAGAAAGAAATGCAGATGATGCTAGCTCAATTCCCCGATGTATGCCAGTAGAAGTTCAATCTTATGCTTTAATGTTCAGAATCTAGTTTTCTTTGTGGTCCCAAACGTTAGAAGAAAGAAAGGGTTCTAAACTTTTTGTGTCTTTATCCTAAGTTTACCTAAGATTACCATGACTTCCTTTTTCTTCTTATTTTATTTATTTATTTATGTTTTCAATTTGGGTGCCAATTTCCACTTGGAGTTTGTCAAATACATAATAGTTTTTTGTTATTGGTTCATCCTGGTCCGATGACAGAATAAGAATGAGAAGTTTGCTAAAAAAAAATTTTTTTGTTTTGATGTGTGCTTCATAAAGTACAGAAATGGGAAAATTTTAGAGAAAGTATAAATTGGTAGCTTCGCAATGGAGTTCTTAAACTTTATTTGAAAACAATTTTGATATTTTTTTGTTAATGAGAATGGTTTTTTTAAAGGTGGACTGCACTGAAAAATAACAGTCTGGGGTTGGAAAAGACAAAAATACCCTTAATGAATCAAGGATGCATTATGATTTGTTAAGGGTATTTTTTTGTCTTTTCCAACCCCAAACTGATGTTTTTAAGGGCAGGGTGGACTGTAAAAAACAATTCTATTTGTTAATTTAATGGCACAACTCATTTAGAACATACAAACATTTTTACCCTCAGCACTTTCAGTTGAATTTTCTCAAAAAATGCATCTGAAATGCTGGTGAAAGAGCTAGTTAGTTTTTGGTCACTGCAATAACATATTTATTCTAACTTCTCAAAGGTTGACCTCATGACTTAATAATGACAGGTTTGTGTTTCAGTGAGGCTTAACACTGGCATGAAGACACTAAAGGATGGTATAAAACACGAGTTTCTACGTCTGAGGGTAATAAGATGTCACAGGGAACTCAAGCTAGATAAACAGATCTCTGACTTCACCCATGATTCATGGCAAAAGGCGTGGTATCTCTATGGTGAGTTTGGAACCAAAGGACTTACAGTGGAGCTTCATGGTCGTGGTGGCCTCTGCTTCAGTGGAAGTAAATTGCTAGATGCAAGAACATTTTATTGGAATGATTTACTGAGAGCACCTTCTCTTACTCTAGAAAGAGAGGTTGACCAAGTTAGAATTGTTGCTTCAATAACACCCCCAGTTCAAGCAACATACTTGTTGAAATGCGTGCCAGACAGAGTCACAGATGATTCAGGAGCCATGGTATCAGATGTGATTCTGAAATTGAATAATTATAGGCCTCAAGAAGGTCGGTGGCTGTCACGCACGGTTCTGAATCATGCCGGGAGAGAGTGTTTTGTTGTTCGAATAAGGTAAGCAGTCTCCACTTAAATCTTGTTTTCCAAGCAAGGATGATTTATCTTTCTGTGCACTACTACCTTGGTACTGAACAAATGATTTATTGTGACAGAGTTGGAGGGGGATTTTGGAGACGGGGAGGGGAAACACCTTCAGCTGTAAAATGGGAGGATAGGATAATTGAGATACGGGAAGGTTCTTGGTCCTATGTTGCCGGTTCCATTGGTAGAGCTCCAGGTATGTTCTGTTAGGCTTTATTTTATGAATCATCAGGATTATAAACAACTTTAATAATGGAAATGGATTTTTCTGAACCAAAATCCTCTTATCCAAACTTGTTTGTGAAATTTCGTTACAGCAAAAAAGTGCTTTTAGGGGTCAAATTTTAAACATTTTGCTCGTATTTTTTCTGTCTAGTACAGAGAAAGTGGTAGGAACAGCAACACCAAAAGAACCCCCAGAGCAATGGCAAGCTGCTTGGCATTTTTCAACAGGAGATGAATTGATGATAAGCTGGGGATCGTCAACATCAACTTCTGGAATGAGTTTTTGTCTAAGAAATCAAACATCTTTAGACTCATCAGTAAGTGGAAAAATCTCTCTTTTTCAATATCTAATCATTCAACTTCTTAGACATCTTGGTCCTTACATCGAGCTACATTGCAGGTAATGTTATTGAGGGGGCGGAAAATGCAATATCAAGTAAAGGCAAGTAATTCAGCCTCAAAGAGTAATGATAAACAACCTGAAAGCAACGAGAGAGAAGGTGACAAGGAGGACGATGAGGAGGGATTCGTGACTCTCATCAGATTCACTGACGAGAACCCAACAGGAAGAGCAACAGCTCTATTGAACTGGAAGCTTCTGGTGGTGGAACTAATGCCAGAAGAAGATGCAGTATTTTTACTTCTGCTGTGTGTTTCCATTCTCAGGAGTGTGTCTGAGATGAGAAAGCAAGATGTGGGGTGTCTTTTGATTAGGAGGAGATTAAAGGAAGCAAGAATCGGTGCTAGAGATTGGGGTTCCATAGTGCTTCATCCTTCATGCTCTCCTTCCATTTCTTCACCTTATTTACAGCCATGGCACTGGAATGCTAACCTGGTAATGGCAGCATCAGATGCAGCAGCAGCTGGGAATTTCACAAGGCAGCCGGCATTGAATTATTCTCCAGTAGGAGGTGGGGATAAGTTGTACAAGAGAGGAATCATTGCATAAGCAACTGAATTGGTGTACGTTACAGAAACCTATCTTTTTGATAAAATAACACTTCGGTTCAGAGGTTTTAGAAAGAAGGCCTGCAATAATCAACTGCATAAATTCGGGCTGTGGTGATATGCTGTATGGCGATAAGGAAGCTGTGGATGAAATTGAAATTGACGACCGAGATCAAATTTAGAACATTCCTTTGGCTTGAAGGGAGAGGGCATGAATGTTTGTTTTCTCAGCAGAAGTGGAGCAGGAATCCGAGGATGTGTACTTCAGGAGTCACACTTTAAGTTAAGGAAGCCCAGGTTGGTTAACACTTGAGTTATGTTAATTCAGATATGAGGAATAACAAAATAAACTTTAACAAAACGGGCTTCTCATGTTCTGGGGTTACAAAATTTATCAAACAGAATATCAACCCCAAGATTCAATAAACTGGTAAATAAGTGTGATTAATGTAGGGTTGTATCTTTAAAATCGTTTTATAGATATGTGCAAAAACTTGATCTGAGGATACTTTGATTGTCCAAATTTAAAAAAATCAAACACGAGTATTCCATGCAAATCATATTAATATATTTTTAAATTGATGAAATAAAAATAAAATAATGTCAACAACTTAAATAGTTCAATAGTCATCTCTTTTTACTGGAAGTAAGAGATTTTAAGTTCGAGTCGCATGGCATGCGATGAAATGTGATAAGAGATGGAAGATGATTGGTTTCTATTGTTCAACCAAGATAAAAAAAAATAAAAAATAAAATAGCAATACCTATGTATCGCAAGAGACATCAGACAAACAGTATTTGAGAAATAAGGTAAGCTAAATCGGTGGAGAGAAGAAATAAATGGTTATTTTCTACCGTACCGGTATATACACCACCTACGAAGGTAACAATTTGCTAGTGCCTAGAGGAAAAATCCTGCCTGAATTGCAAACCTTAGCAGGAACGAATAAACGGGTTAGGGTTTAACTTAGCTGACTGCTCTTTACAAGGGTTTCAGTAAAATTTTAGTTAAACTTTTAATTTGATCCCTAAATTATTATATAGATCCTTAATTTAGTCCTTAAACTAAAAAATCCTTGATTTGGTCCCTAAATGATTATACGAACCTCCATTTTGGTTCCTACTGTTTATTAATTTGTCCCAAGTTGGTCTTTCTGTCTAAAAAATAGTTAATGTGTCAATTATTTAACGGTAAAAAATAATAATTTAACAACAAAAAATAGTAACTTAAGAGTTACGTGTCATATTAATAACAAGACACGTCAATTGATTTTTGTATAAAATGACCAATTTAGAGTAAATTGGTGAACAGTAAGGATCAAATCGGCGGTCCGTATAATAATTTAGGGACCAAATCAGGAATTTTTTTAGTTTAAGAACTAAATCGAAAATCTATACAATAGTTTAAGGATCAAATTAAAAATTTAATTTAAAATTTTTTATTTTACTATTTTATCTTTCACAGTTTATATACGTGCTGGTTGACTCCTCACCTATTAGAGTTGGGTTGGAGTCAACTTTTGCTTACCCATAACTTCGTATATGACTTAACTAATGATCAAAGGTAACTTAATTAGAAACCGGCCCGGTTGTTTGCCACTCTTACTACTGCCTAATGCTTTGTTAGTGTTTGCAGTCTCAAATTCGAATTTTAAGACGAGTGGGGGAGGAGTGTGTGGAGGCGAGGGTTATTCTATACTTTATATTTCATTATTAGGTCTAGCAAAAAATGCCTTACTATTATTGGAAAAAGTGTTTTGGGTGATTTGTGAGGCGTTGGAGCCTAGGCCCGTCTAGCGCTGGGCCGGTTTTTTTTTTTTTTTTT